TCAACCTGAATAGAAGGCAACATGCGAAAATGCATCCGAAGGTGGGCATGAGTACCTAGACCTAACAGGGTACACCGCAACCTATTATAACCAGCTACGAATCCACTGCATATACGCACCCTAACCAATGAGTCTGAGACTCAAGCTCATCTCGTGGTACCATAAACATAAATATAAAGTCCGTCCAAAATCAGGGTATGTAGTTCAAATATTTATTAAACTGACATACAATAAACCAACTAGTTAGTCACTCAACTTATTCAGTTGATATGACTTAACTACCATCCATTAATTCCAAAAGTCATCCAACTTAGTTGCAGTTGATCTGACTTAGTCACAATTAGGATTCAATATCTTTAATCCATTCCATTAATCCATTAGGTTAGGTTTATGCGTTTTGAGCTAAACCGTCCCCAGTATGTCACCGTCCCATACCGGTGCATAAAATCCTCCATATCCATGTAAATTACAAAACATAAATAATAAACTAGTAATTTACAGTCTAAAACCAATATCCAAATCATTGCAGAAAAGTGTTTAAAGTTTCAGCAATTTAAATCCAAGAATTAAACCACGTAATTGCTGGAAACGGTTTAATAATTCACAACTAGCATCCAGAGTAGGCATAATCAAATCTAATATATCAATGATTCTATCATGCATTTAAAATGAATTCTATAATCATATTATAGTCTAATAAATTGCTAAATTGCTAAATTAATTTAAGCAACTTAGTTCTTTCTATCCGGTAACAGCGTACTAAGTTGTACATTAGTTCCACTAATTTTCTACTATTTGTACCAAGTGCTTAGAACTGACTTTTAATTAATTTAGAGTCTTAATGATACCCAAAACCACCCTTTTAATCATTCTGTATAGCCCCAGAACAATCAGAAATCTCCATGCTCCAAACAGTAACACATAGTACGTAGAAAAACTGAAAAAAAAAAAAAATAAATCAGAATGTAAATTGAAGAGGGAGCCTGCTCCAAATTTTGGGAGCAGGCTCTTTCAGCCTAGAGCTGGCTCTAGGAGTCCTTGGAGCCGGCTCTACTTGTGTGGGAGCCGGCTCCCATATCTAGGGAGCCGGCTCTCACCCCTTTTGAGAGCTTTCGGCCTCCTGCTGCTCTGTTTTAGTCCGTCTGCTTCATCTCTGGACCATTCCTAACACTCTGTTGGTCTTCAAAACTAATATTAGGAGTTTAATTAACACCCAGTACCATCCCATCAATTTGTTATAACAGTAGGAATTAAAACAACAACAAAAACAACAATCGTCTTAACATGCTTTTATGATCAAACACTGAATACAATCTTGCAATTACAGTTCCATTCCAACCCCTTTGCTCCTCTTCAAAACTGAACCTAAGGTCTTATATCATCCCATTAACATCCCCATGATTAATTATATCACATAACTAATCTAAGAAATAATAATATTTAGGAGAAGACTTTGCTTTCTCAAAACTTTGTGCCTCATTCTCCAATAAACATGCTAGAAAATCAGGACCAAAAGATGTAGACGTTCTAGCCCACAAGAAAATGATATGCACTGATGTTATGAGCATAACCTATAAAAGGTTTTATGTAACGATCCACTCCACCACATAGTATGATATTGTCTGCTTTGGGATCGAGCCCGCACGATTTTGTTATTGGGTTTTATCTCAAAAGACCTCATACCAATTGGAGATAACACCACTACATAAAATCACATACCATGTTCTGAATAAATATCAACAAATGATAATTCGTATTCACGAACTCTATCATTTCTTAACACCTTGTCAAGTTGATTTTCAACCTCATTTTTGTAATGTTTAAACATTTCTAAGGCTTTATCTTTGCTTCGTAACAGATATAGATAACATCATCTTGTGCAATCATTGATAAAAAAAATGAAATACCTTTTCCTAACTCTAGTGGGCACAAATTTAAAATAATATAATATACTACATAATATTATATTACAAAATTAAAATAATTCAATCAATACTGAATTATATAAATAATTCAATAATTTACTAATATAACATGCTTCAATTTCACATAATATTGAACACATCAATATTTAGCATATTATCATATAATAATATACATAACATTATTTTATTATATCTCATTTATTGTATAATATCTACTTGTTTATATCTTAAATAAAAGCATATAATAAAACATACGCAATGAGTGAGTCTGTCTTAAGATTGTTGGTAAATATATGTTTCATGTGACATTTAAGATATAACAACCCTTATACTAATATGCTATGAGATAATTAACAATATGCTAAGAAATGATTAATTAAATATAAATATGTAAAATAAAATAATAAAATAATAAATAAAGAACTTGGACCGAGGCTAGTATTGGATACTATATCCTTAAGACATATTCGCCCCGCTATGGTACTAACGGACTCAGTGGCGTCTATCTCCCAGGATACAACGGTCTACATCCACCAGTAGCAGCATTACAAACTCGTGGATACGGCGAACCTTCTCTGTGTAATACTCTCTCTGACTCAAAAATGCATCTATACTATATAAATGCTAAATTGGATGCAATCCAAACCAAATGGTTCGGACCAATCTTAATATGGCTCGATGAAATTGGATTAGAGTCTAAGTGGTTCAAACCACTTAACCTATGGTTTGAACCCACTTGGGTTGGGTTCAAGTCTAGAGAGGGAAATAGAAGAAAATGAAAAATGAATCACTTGCAAATAATCCAAAGGGGGGTATTTATAGAAACAGAAATGCCTTTTTGGATTGGGTGTATCTCTTTATTATTGGAATAGGTTGCAATGGTTCACATGGTGTCTGTTCACCACTAGACACATCTATTCCAATAGGTTGCAATGGTTCACATGGTGTCTATTCACCAATAGACACATTCATTCCAATAGGTTGCAATGTGCTTTAACGAGTGGGTGCAACCATGAGTTATGACGGTTCGAAAAAAGGTGTAACCCTTTAAAAAAAAAAAACTAAAAAGTAGTTTTTTAATTTAAAAGGTATAACCCTTTAGAAAAACTAAAATATGGTTTTTTTAATTTAAAAGGTGTAACCTTTTAGAAAAATTAAAAAGTAGTTTTTTAATTCAAAAAACCCCACTCATTTGTGAAACGCATTTAAATAAGCCCAGCCCAAAATTAGGCCCAATCCAAAATTCCAAAAAAGAATAATCTGGACTTTACAATTAAGCCCAAGCCCAAGCCCAAGCCCAAATCCTAAACTCAGCTTATTTAAATTTTAATTTGTTTCAACATTTTTTCTATGTGGGACAAACACTTCTCACATTTTGCATACCCATTTAGGCTTATCAAAACACCATACTTTGGAGCTAATTTCTCATTTACCCGGAAATGGATTTAAGAAAGTAAATATACCACGTTCATCTCCTTGCGGAGAGAAACACGCTCGTCTAGAGATTCGCAAAAAATTCTTAGCGGAATCTATTCCAAATCTCATCCAAAGTTTATGTTTTTAATGCCTCCGTTTCCAACAAGTGTGTCATCTCCAATTGGTATGAGACATTTTGAGGTAAAACCCAAGAGCAAAACCATGCGGGCTCAGGCCCAAAGCGGACAATATCATACCATGTGGTGGAGTGGGTCGTTACAAATAGTATCAGAGCCTAACCCAGCCGGAAGTGGGCCGACGGGGACATCGGGCCTCCAAAGGAGGTGGATTGTGATGACCCTGTGGACGGGTGCGTCATAGGCGGGTGCGAGAGATACTGTCAGGCTACCACACTGGCGAGTTACGAGTGTACAATCTCACATCGCCTAGGAAAGGGAAAGGTGAAGTGTTTATATGTAAGTGTATCATCTTCAATTGGTATGAGGCCTTTTAAGGTGAAACCCAAAAGCAAGCCTAAAACGAACAATATCATATCATGTGGTGGAGTGGGTCGTTACAGAAATAATCAAGTTTATAAATAAAAAAAATAAAATAATAAAAATGAAAACAATACTCTCAAACTAACAGACTAAAAAAAAAAAAAAAAAAAAAGGGGACTAATCATAATTTATCAAGGGAAAGAGAAAAGAAGAATCCACGAATACAGAGGGAAAAAGCACACAGAAAGGAAGACCGAGAGGAAAAATACGACGTATTAATTTGAGTTCACACACCTGTAAAGGCGACATTGAAAGCAACTCTTTAAGATCAGATTAGAAGGAAAGGGAATTTTTGGACCAATTTTATATGCAGTGTGATAAAAAAAATAAAATAAAATAAAAATAAAATCTTATTTAAACCTTCAAATAGTATGAGAGTGAGCTCTGTGAGAGGCAAATGCTAACAAAGACTTGTAGGTCCTACCATGTCTCGAACAACCCTTCTTGTTTTTTTTTTTTGGGTTTTGTTTCGTTCTATACGGAACCTTGCCTTCATAGCATCATTTCACAGTCCAATATGTTCTTTAATCCGATTAGCCCAACTTATCCGGATTAAACAAAAGGATAATAATTTTTAGACCTAATGGTCTAATTGAGAAGGTTAAGAAAGAAATTTCTATCTTGAATGCATTGAATAAAAAATTCTCGACTGCCTCTTATTAGATAAAGGTGGAGTCATGAATTCAACATCAGTAAACAGTTTAAACTAATGTAATGGTGGCATTCTCGGCACCATCATGGCAAACAAACTCCAGCACACCAAATTATTTGTGACACTTTTTTCAGTCCAATAAGTTTTTACTATTACTCAATACGTACTTCAAAAAACAAAAAACAAAAAGATGAAAAAACAAAAACTAACAGAGTTAAAGAACAGGAATAATCATAATAATCACAGAAAAGAAAAAGGAAGAAACCTGGAAGCTCCCAACGAGAGGGAAAATACAGTGTATTAATTTCAGTTCACACACCTGTAAAAACTTTACAACATTGAAATCAACTTTTTAAGGGAAGCTTAGCAGGAAAAGGAATTTTGGGACCCAATTTTTGATGACTTGAGGTTGACTTGACTTCAACTTTATTGATTCTAAAATATCCACCAAAGAAGCAAAACAGAGCTCATACTTACTCATCCTTCAGAAAAAAATGGCAGAGTTTGTTGTTTCCTTTGTTTTGGAGAGGCTTCAGGGCTTGGCAAGTGAAGAAGCAAGCTTGTTACATGGAGTAAGCTCTCAAGTTGAGCAACTCCGAGTCGAGTTCCAGAGAATGCAATGCTTCCTAAAAGATGCAGATGCAAGAGAAAGCGAAAGCAAGACAATCCACAACTGGGTTGTGGAGATCAAAGAAATTGCTTACGATTCTGAAGATATTATCGAAACCTATGTAATCAGAGTTGCTTCAAGGAGGAGTATGCAAAGCTTTCTCAAAAGATGTGTTTGTATCTTGAATGAAGGTAAAGCCCTTCACAAGGTTGGATCGGAGATACAGAGTATCAAAACCAGAATTTCTCAACTCACCACGAGTTTACAAACTTATGGTATTAGAGCCATAACAGAAGGGGAAGGATCATCAAGTTCTGCATACGGGAGGCAACAGCGCGTGCTAAGGCGGTCTTATTCCCATGTTGTGGAAAAGGATTTCGTGGGATTGGAGGAAGATGTAGAGGAATTGGTGGGGCTTTTGGTGAGTGAAGATAAAGAGAATTACTATCGAACTTTGTCAATTTGTGGTATGGGTGGTTTGGGGAAGACCACTATTGCTCAGAAGGTTTACAATGACCAGAATGTTAAGCGTCATTTCGATGGCTTTGCTTGGGTTTGTGTATCTCAGCAATGGCAAACCAAAGATATTTTGCAAGGGATACTTACGAAGCTTATCCCACATGAAAGGGATCGAATTGTGTTTATGAGAGAGGAAGATCTTGTGAGGATGCTAGTTCAAGTCCACCAGAGTAGGAAGTGTTTGGTGGTTCTTGATGACATTTGGTCAGAGGCTGCTTGGGACTGCATAAGGCATGCCTTTCCTACTGGAGGAGATATGGGTGGCAAAATATTGATCACTACGCGTAATCAAGAAGTGGCCTTGCATGTGGATCCACATGTTTACCTCCATGAGCCACGATTGTTGACTGAAGATGAAAGTTGGGAACTACTTCAGAAGAAAGCATTCACAAAACCAGATGGCGCAGGTAGTTTATTATGATTTTAGTTTCTCACCCTTGGTCTGATGTTTAGTGTGGTTCTAACCAAGATATATCTCCCTGTCCTTAACTAACTCATTGCCAACTCAATTTAATATACCATTACTTGAAATCTATTACATGAATCCTGATTTTTCATTTTATCCTAATGTAATAATCTTTAATTTTAGATAAATAACTTGTCAATCTATAATAACCTTACAGTAACATTCTAATGTGATTGGGTTAATAAGGTCTTGTGGAGATTGTTGGACAATCTCTTGTGGAGATAAGTTTATATATTGTTTTGGTGGTGGTTGCATGTGGTTTTTGATGACAAGCTTGTTTTTAGCCATATTGACGTCCTCAAAGGTTCATATCCTGCTCCATAAAGGAGGTTTTGGGTTCATCATAAAAGCATTGAAGGATCATATTGACTATAGTAGCAAGCTAGTTCTTACAGTCTGATTGTTCTTATTCTAGTTATTAAATGAAGTTGCATATTTTTAAGTTCTGTTAATTTAGGCACTTTTGACCAAGAAATCCAAATTATCGCACTAAAAGACGTAATCCATCTTCTGAACTATAGCACATTCACTCTATTTTTGTTTATTGATTGCTAATCTTGTTTGTTTTCCCTTTGTTGTTGGCCTTCTTAGGCTTTGAATGTTTGTTCAAATCCATCATACTGAAGAAATGTTTCCTTTTTCTTTGCTCTACAGAGCCTAGAGATGACAAAAACATGGAGGATTTGGGGAGGGAAATGGTTAAACATTGTGGAGGTCTGCCATTGGCTGTAATTGTGCTTGGCGGAATTTTGGTAACAAAACAGACATTAAGGGACTGGGAGATGGTGCATCGCAATATTAGTTCATATATAAGGAAGGGAAAAGGCATGAGGCAACAACATGGAGTATCACAGGTGTTAGCTTTAAGTTACAGTGACTTACCATATCAGTTGAAGTCGTGTTTTCTATATCTAGGCAATTTCCCAGAGGATTCTGAAATTGAAGCCGATAAATTATATCAATTGTGGATTGCTGAAGGTCTGGTATCATTGGATGACCGAGCAGAAGGAGAAACAATGATGGATGTTGCAGAGCGCTGTCTAGTTGAACTAGCATACAGATACATGGTTCAGGTGGAAGTAGATGAGTTCAGTGGAAGGTTTAAATCTTGCAGCCTTCATGACCTGATGAGGGATCTGTGCTTGTTAAAGGGAAAAGAACAAAATTTCTTAATGGTCGTTGATTTTCGGCATGGAAGCGAGAAGCTTGTGGATTATTCCTCTTACTACTCTTCATTGGACAGTAAAGTACGCAGACTAGCCATCCATTTGGGTGAAGATGGTTTCCCCAAGATTAGAACAGCTCAGCACCTTCGGTCCCTTTCATTCTTTGTTCCATCCAAATATATTTGCATACCTATGCCGAAGAATTTCCATTTCAAAGGCTTCAAAGTGTTGAGAGTTCTAGATCTTGGCGGAATCCAGTTCTCTAAGAAGTTAGCCAGAGCAGTTGGAAAGCTAATTCATCTCAGGTACTTGAGTTTAAGAAATTCTGGGTTCAGAAAGTTGCCTTCATCTATAGGCAACTTAGGGTTCTTGCAAACCTTAGATTTAAGGTTGCATGAACAATTAGGAGTATCTGGAACAATACCAAATGTCCTGTGGAAGATGAAAAGCTTGAGACATCTATATCTTAATGATCTTGTAAAAACAAAAGAAATATTGAGATTGGATGGTTTGAGCAAGCTGGAGTTACTGGAAACCTTCACTACACGTCTGTTTGATCTTAAAGACCTCTTCATGCTTACCAACCTTTGGAAACTAAATGCACGTGTCCAGGTAGAAGTACTTGAAGACTTGGTGGCCATCATCAACTACCTAAACATCAGGGCAAACCGACTCCAGCACTCGTCATTTTACATTGGATACAACTTTTGTTCCGAAGAAGAGGTAAATCTTTTGAGACAATTGCTAGAGTGCCGTCGCCTTAATGCATTGCATATAGGAGGTGTTATAGGTAAGTTACCCGAACACCATCATTTCTCTCCAAACCTCACTATGTTAGAATTCAGTAGATCTGAGCTCAAGGAGGACCCAATGGCAACACTGGAGAAGCTTCCTAACTTAAGAAGGCTTGCCTTGGGTTCTAATGCCTTCGTGGGAGTGAAAATGGTTTGCTCTAAGTTGGGTTTCCCTCAACTCAAATTTCTAAAACTCAAAGAACTATCCAACTTGGAGGAATGGATGGTGGATGAAGGATCAATGCCCAATCTTTCTTCTTTAGAAATTGGTTGTGAGAGATTGAAGATGGTTCCAGATGGATTGAGATTCATATCTACCCTTCAGGAATTGAAGATTTCGATCTCGTCAAAAGATTTTCAAAGACGACTTCGAGTGGTAGATGGGGAAGAAGGAGCTGATCTCTACAAAGTTCAACATGTCCCTTCCATCATATTTAATCCATATCATTCTTTCACAAGCATTTCAATGGAAGAAGTATTCAGGTACTTTTTTACAGGGAAAAATTAATTTGATTGATATATTGAGAATTTGGCATATTATCCTAGTTTTCCTTGAATAAATTTGCCAAAATCTTTCTTGTATGCGGTACAAACTCTTTTGTAAAATTACAGATTTCTTGCCTTTTGTAGTTCATATTTTCTTTTCTCTCATTTTCAGACATATATCGAATAAAATTGGAAGAAAATTAAAATCTGTTTATATTCTGTTTTTAATGCATGACCTTGGTACTGATTTACAATACAGTAGTGATTTACTCTATAATTCTCAAGTTACTTGGAACTTGATGTGTTATTTCATGTCCCTATAAATCAAAGTTTCTTTGTATATTTCAATTTTGAAAATTTACATCGACAATAATGGTAAATGCTAGTCCTTATGTGCTGTTATAGTGACAGTAAACTCTGGAGGTACCGTTAACAGAGGAGATCTTGTTAAATTCTGTCGCATGCATGCCTACATGTCTGTTTGCAATTTCTAATAAAGCAAGAGATATATTCTTGTCTCATTTTGATTATCAATGTTTATTTATTTATTTTTTCTAGATTAATATACGGAGGAAGAAGGTCTATCACATCCAGCCAACACGCTTAATATGAATGTGATCAAGAACACCACCACCACCACCATGTTTTTATGACGTAGAACATGGCTAACACAAGCTGAGGTGAAATTCCAAAATTTGATGTCGTGAACCACTGCCTGGATCTCCACTGGAGCTGGATCAGACCCCACCACTGCTGGACAGAGAATCAGTGAATCACTTTCCAACCAAATCTGCTCGAATGGGAAGGAGGCGACCCAAAAAATCGTTTTGTGAAGGCAATAGGCCTCAGCTGAAAGAGCACTTGAAGCAGGAAGTGGCTTAAAAATCACGACTTTGACAATGTCACCTCTGCAATCCCGAAAAACAGTGCCACCACCCCCTGTGGAAGTGTAAAGAATGTTGTTGGCCCAACCTCTGGGAGTGTAAAACTTCCCAAAAAGTTCTGCACTTCCTTTGGAGATGCGGTTATAATGCGTTTTCAATGCCCCAAGCCCTTAAATGGCATCGTTTTGTTGATAGTGCAATATGTTTTCGTTGTGGTCTGGAGGAGGAATTTGTGATTCATCTGTTTTTTGGATGTCCTTACTCTATTCTTGTTTCGAAATTGTCTCCACTTCGTCTTGATTTCTCTTTTTCTCGGGTGACATCCTTTCCAAGAGTGGTGGATGATGTGTGTATTATCAATGATAAAATCACTCTCAATAGAATAAATCTTTGTAGGATAGAGCTATGTTGAGGGTGTCAAATCTCAAGGATTGCGACAATTATGCTGTCAAGATATTAAGATTATTTCTAATTTAATTCGAAATAGAAAATTTTAATTTTAATTTAACTAATTATTTAAATATAACTTAAACTAAGTAATTGGGGAGATCACGAGATAAAGAGTCTAAGGTATTGACTTTACCACTAATCCGCCCTCCAATGGTCAATTAGACATATTATTAGGATATTTTGTATGATCAGGATGTATGGCAACAAGCACATAACATAATTTATAAAGAAAAACTCATATGTCTAGGGATAAGCATAACCCATCTTCGGTTAGCATGTACAACCCATCTACACTTAGCATGACCTATCAAACCACTAAACATATGATCATTGAGCACCATTGCATGATAAACCTACCCTATAATCACAGAAAATAGAGAGGTCGAGATCAATTATAAATCCTTCTCCCTAATACAAGGTAAGATATCAAATATAATTGAATTTAAGCATTAAATCCCAAAATCAAAGTATAACCATTGTTTTGCCCTTAATTATGCAATCATCATATAATAAATAATCCCAATAAAATAAATAAATAAACCATTGGAGTTAAGATTAGGGTTACATCAATCCTTTAGAAAGAGTTTAGCCGCTCATGGAGAAGAAAGAAGACTTCATGGATGTGGAGACCTCTATCTTCATCTTCTCTTTCTAACTCTGAAAAAAATCTCTAAATTATACTGTCTGTAATGACCCGAATCCGAGGGTTCGAATCGCTAACCGGGTCCTTACCTGAACCCGAGGTCGTCTAAGAGCACTATGGTCAATTCCAATGTCGATACATGATAAACGTGCCATCTCAAGGCTTATACAAAAAAAAAAAAAAAAAAAAAATGAGATCACAAATACAAAAGATGTCGAAACAGTCCACTAACCCATTTAAACTTGTGGAGGAACGTCGTCCACCACTTCCTTCCCGTGACCTGAAAAATGTAATAATATGATAGAGTGAGCTAGCCGCTTAGTAGGAAGTGTCTAAGACACAACTCTTATGACCCCATGAATCCACATAAAGCATAGAGTACAAGTAACGTGATCATGCTATTGGGGAACATTTTCACAACAACTAGAATAAGTGTCTACACCGGCCATCCGACCATAATTACACAATGCATGCCAATGAGATGCAATGTCGTGCCAACGTCGCTCCCCATTGCCGAAACAATTCCGTTAACCTTTTCAAACTGTTAGTGCAATCCGACCTATGGCAATTCCATGGCGTCATGAGACAAAGATTGGCTAGCAATCCCTGAACACATGGCAACTCCAAGGCATCGCAGGCTTAGGTAGCTCAACCTCGCTTAAGTCTCTCCCTAACCTCTTTAGACCACACTAACGCCACAGACCACTAAGCAACTCCTAGGCGCTCAGGTTTTCGCAAACCATTTTAAAACATTTTCCCAAAAATAATTTTCATTTGCTTTTCAAACATTCCACTTTTCCTTCCCAATGAAACGCATGAATGTTTCATACTTCTCAAATTGCCACAATCTCATACAATTTAACTTTAACAATATTCCATACCAATTAAGAAAAATTCTCACAAAATTATAGCATTCTTATTATTCACGAATTTTCAGCAACTAAGCATTTAAAACAAGATTTCAATCACTTAAGCATGCTTCTCATATCAAATCAACAACTAATATGCACACATATTGTGATAACCTGGATTTTTAAGATTTTAATTTAATTTATTCCATGATTTTTAGTTGCTAAGATTGAGTATTTAATTTTTATTGGAGATTTTTTTTAGAATTGCTTTGGTTTTGTACTTATATATTTATAATATCAGTTTCATATGGTGAAGGAAAATGGGCACTTGGACGAAATTCAGAGAGAGAAAGAGAAAGAGAAAGAAAAGGAAGATAAGTTTGAAATGGTAATGAATTTTGTGGGGTCCATTAGTAGATTTTTAGTGGGAATGGATTTGTTTTATGCAATTGAATTATATATATATTATATATAATATGCATTGCTTTTGTTAAGGAGTAGGTTAGCCGCATGTGGGAAGAATGGGTTTTGATGTTTTCAATTTGTGGGGTCCACTAAGAAGCTTGATGTGGTTTTGTAAGCATTTATATATATATATATATATATATATATATATATATATATATATATATATATTGCATCTGCCTTGAGATAAGAAGAACGTGTGCTGCCAGTCGGAAATTTAGAGAAAAAGAAAGAGAAGAAAAAGGGAAAAAGAAGAAAGAAAGGAAAAAGTAATGATTAGTGGGGCCCACGAAATTGTTTTTGTGGCTATAAATTCTTTGAACCTAGTCCTTCACGTGGGTTTTATTGGCTGACATTTTATTTGCGTGGTGAGCGTTTTTGTTGGGTGTCAGTGGAATTGTCTTTATAAAGAAACTGTTTTGCAACTTTGGTAATGATACAAGGAGAAAGAAAAATAGAGGAAAACAAAATGAGCCGAGAGAGACACAGAGAGACGAGAGTTTGCAGAGAGAAGCTGCGAGGTTGCAGAGGAGGCCGGGAGCTTGAGGCTTTGATGATCTAGTGAGGAAAATTCCTTTTCCAAGGTAGAGGTGTTCTAATACATAAATTCTTGTACTTTTGTGAGTTTTCTTGTTTAATTTAATGTTAAGCATGCTCAATTTGTATAATCTCTTGCAAAACTAGTTTAAATGTTGGTTATGGAACACATGATTACTTGTTACTTTTTGTGTAGTGATTATATATACCTATGTGAAATTAAATTCATGTTTTTAAATGCTTAACATGTTAAATTGATGTTGATTGAAAGAATGAGTTATGTGTTTTAGAAAATTATGTTGGATAGTATGTGTGAAAAATTTATTGTTGAATTGATGATTTGAATCATGGAGCATTCTTGCATCCATTGGTTTTGGTATCTTTTTGGGTCGCTACACATATCACTTAAACATGAAAGTCACATGGAGATAAAATTCATATATATAACATCATGACAATTTTTCAAGAAATAATCACAACTAAACATATCATACTTCAATTATAGGGGAATGAATCACAAAAATCAAAGAGATTGTAGATTAGAACACCCCTATCCAATCTAAACAAAAAGCCCCAAATCAGCCCAAGAATTCGAAATCCCAAATGATGGCCAAACAACACTTTGCTCCAATCAAAACGAAGATCTCAACGCGTTCATTAACTTTACCTTAAGTGGCAAAATCAAATTCCAAATGGAAGATTATAAAATCAAGCTTTATAATTTGTGATTTAGTTAGAGAAAAATGGGTTTCATGTAGGAGAGAGAAAGAGGCTGCGTGAAAAATGAGAAAAATGAGAGTCTACTAATGGACTTTAGGCCATATACAATGATATACCATAATGGTGGGTCTCATGACTTAAAAAAATATCTCCACTAACATTAACTTATATATATACACAAATCAAAATACAACCACTAAATTAAACATACTACCATGTAAAAATGTATCAATTAATAATGGATGAATTGCAATGAACCCAAATTAAAATCCTCGTGCTCAACGACTCCGGTAACGGGTCCCATCTAGGTCCTCCCAGCCTGAAAAACGAAAAAATGCCAAAATAGTAACCAATGCATTTTCAAGAGTCCTAAACTCAAGGAAATGCCCCAACCAACTCTCAAACACACCCGGCGTCCAGCACGCAAACGAGACAAGATGAAAAACATTCCGAAAAATCAAAAAATCGCAGAAAACGAAGAATAGAAAAAATTGAGATCATTACAATTTACCCTCCTTAAAAAGATTTCGTCCTCGAAATCTACCTTCTTTAAAGAAAGAGGCCCACAACCACAGACTTTCCCAATAAGCACCTCATACGACCACAAGACTATGAGCTCACCAACCTTATTGCCTTTGACACTGGATGTCAATAGGCAATCACACACCACTGCCACTAAAACACAATGCTCACCACCCTATGAGGATACTCATCACTCATAACATTAAAACACAAAACCAACTAGACTCTACACCCGACTCAAAACGGACATCGGTCCACTCTACACTGCCACGCAAAGCATTTGGAGCCCGAAAGAAGAACGGGCATGATCCTTGAACATGAAAGCATCCGATCTCAGTTTATCCTTTAAAAGACACATAAAACCCCATACAAGGAACCCTGTCCATCTCACAATTAATCTCAACTCAAAACTACACATCCCTATCGGACCAAGCACTCGCAATCTAAGGCATAGCTATACCGTCACATATCGGTACAAGCGACAACCAACTGCACCATTTGACAATCATTACACTTAACAACCTCAAGATAACTAAACAACGAATATCCCAATGACTATATAATCATGAGTCACCAAAATAATAAAATGTACTATCCTATACCATGGACACAAATCCTCAAAACAAGATCTTCAATAATCAATGATCATATCGCAAACCCTTTATTGGGCACTTGGTCTTACCTAACACACCTTGTCAACATAGATAAACCACCTGAATCTACACTGTCACACTGACATAATGAACAGTATAATGCTCTCACTGTCCCTAACAAAATGAAACAATCATTGACCTTTGACCAAACATCATGTTAAAGAGGGACTGATTCAGGGGAAATAGTTGGCCAAGCAATTCTCATCATCGATCCGACCTCAACACAGACGTCGTTTCTGTCCTCAGGTCTAAACCTCAAACACAATCTTACATAGTCCACAAGACAACCATGAGATCCATTCACTATCAATCCATTACGCTACATAATCCTTAACAACTATACAGTCACATACCTTGATCGGTTTAAGACTCGATCTATAATAAATCAACCCTTTGCAATAGCACAAATCATTGTAAAATAGGGCTACTGCACGGGTAAGTCGAACCACTGGGACTGCTAGTTTATGGCAACCAAGGTCTTTAAATTCACTTTTAGTTTGATGAAAGGGGTATAAAGTTTTGATTGGTTTGTCACATAGAATTTAGGAATTAAAGATTGCATAAAACAATATTTGCAAGGTAATTAAGAGAAAAGAAATTCTAGGTAGAGAGGACTAGAGAAGTGAATCCACTACCTATCCTATTAACATGCTAGTTGAGATTAACTTGGGGAAACAACATAAATATGTGACCATGGAATGCTACAACACAAAGATTGCTACATTCCTTCAAGAAATTCATGAAATCAATGGTAAGAATAATCTATCAAAGTTGCACATGCTTGAACTACCTAAATTAGTGTGTAGCCTTGGACATGCTTACTAAGCTAGAGATTATCAAGCCTTCAGTCACATAATAGGAGCACATGAAGTCAAGAGTCAAGAATAGTCCATCAAAGGGGGTCCTAAGCTATGGAATATCAAGATTCTCATACAATATGCCAAGAAACCCATTTCACAAACTCATTTCCATTGTCACTATGAAAATATAAGCCATACAATCATGAGAAAATATGATCTAAGACAAGATAATACATTCATCATAATCATTTATAAGAAATTAGATTCATTACATCAAGTGTAACATCTAGATTGCGAAGTAATCACATATATGCATCATTTTCCCTAAAATAAACTAAGACTAGAACATGCTTACTAGAGAGGGCTTCATCACCTCCCTAGATAGGGAGTTAGTTGCCCATGGATGCACTAGAGGAAGGAGAAAGGATGAAGAGTCCCTCCATTTTCATGCTTAGAGCTTCAAGAAACAAAAATCCTCTCTTTTACAATTTTTCTCTCTCTAGAAGCTTGCCAATATGTGAGATCCCCCCATTCTAAGCCTCAAGCCCCTTATTAACACAAAATAATCTCCCTCTACTCTATTTTCGTGCCCCAACAACCCTAAGAGAAATCAGGACCACAGAAAAGGGTCAAGGGGACAACTTTCAGCACAAATTCAGGGGCAGTTGATCTGCTATCTACAGATCAGCGGGTGCCCGCTGGTGTATGACATCCGAGGATGGCCACTGGAATGTTTGGCGGGCACTCGCAGATCTACGACGGGCGCCCGCGGTGCTTGCTGGCAGGGGCCCGCGAGACACAACGGGGCCCCGCGGTTGAAGGAATGCTCCTGGAGTGTTTGGCGGGCGCCCGCGAATCTGCGGCGGGTACCCGCCGTGCTTCGCCTCAAACCCTTCCCTCCTTTCTTGAGCCACTTTGGATCGGTCCGTTTGACGCGGTCTTGATCCTAAGCACTATGCCGCAAAACTCACACACTTGATTGAATCAAGCAACTTGACCAAAATGATGGTCCCCAACAATGACATGCTTTGATTCTTCAAGAGTTTGTCAAGACCGCTCTTTTAACCATTTTCGGGGGAACCAACCTAAAAGAAGACGGAAATAAATAGATAAAGCTAAACTATACATTATAATTAACTAATATACTTAACTAATGCAAATAAGGGCACTTGAATATGCAATATTCGGCGCTTATCATACCTCCAAACTTACATTTTGCTAGTCCCATAGCAAAACCAAAATACAGAACCTAACAAAAATGACAACATTTGAAATGCTATCAACATGCATCAATCATGGAGCAAGAAAATACCTACAAAGCTCAAATGTAACTTGGAACAACAGAAAATTGGAGACAGACTCATTAAGCAGACTACCTTGCATATATAAAGCCTTGATATAACAAAATGGCTAAACATGCTTCAACTCTCATGCATCAGCATTATAGTCTATATAAATACTTCAATTGTCATTTCTTAAATAGAAATGAACTCTACCTTCATTGAAAGTGAACCGGATTCCCAATATGTGGCTTTTACCCTCTTTTTCCAATCTCAAGAACACAAGCCCTCAATTCATTGAATTACCTTTTGAATGAGGTCTCTAAGGCATGACTTTATTCACAATACAACTTTTGTTGCTTGCTAAAAATTTATTTATTTATTTATTTTATTTTATTTTATTTTTATTTTTATTATTTTTTTAACATGATACGTATTATGGTCGTGCAATGCCGAAGTCCCTTAAACTTTCTAACCAACCCATGTAGTAAGCGTTAGGCCAGTAACTCCCAAACCAGACGACTTTAGGGTGCTAAGTGAGAGACACTCCTAGGACTTAATAACTTGAGTTGGCAAGGCTACAAACTCCAACGAACCATATTTATTTTTTTTTTTAATTTTTGTGAATGACCGTGCAATGTCTAAATCCCTTAAGCTTTCTAACCAACCCATGTAGCAAGTGTTAGGCCAGCAACTCCCAAACCGGACGGTGACGAAACGGGCCGCTCCTATATACAGTGAATGTGCGATTCAAGAAAAGCCTTTTAGGTCAAGTTTAAATTTATAAAAACCACTACCAACACTACTACTAAAGTAGCAAGAGTGAGTAGGGATCGTCCCAAGGGATTATGGGGAATGACCAATGTCATGGAATCACAATTAGGGCTAGTAGGTCGAGTGATCAAACAATTGGTTGGTTGGTTGATAAAAGAGCAACTAAATTAAACTAAGTAATGGCAAAAGAGTGCAATTAAGAGTAAGAGAGAGAGAGAGAGATCTTACAATTTAGAGATCACCACCAAGCAATGCATTTCTATATCATTGACAAGTGATTAATGAGGGCAAATAGTGA